GTCCCGAGCTCTTTCTCACAGGTCTTTATGAATCACTGGTTCAGAAGGTTTTTTTTCAGTCTTTCTTGTTGAGAAAAGAGGCTAGAGATTCAAAACGAAATCATACATCTCATTGTGATGAGTTAGATATCTTTCAGCTTCAGCTCTGATCTTAGCTGAGGGGCATGGGTGGAACCCTTAATTTCTTGGCACTTCTTTGTAATGGCACAAGCACTTTGCCTACATTGGGTGTTGTATCAGCTGCCTTCTGAGCAACTGACAAAGCTGCACAGTTCTGCACTCAGCAGGATCTTGATTAATAATTATGATAGAAGCACTTCTGTTGAGCTTAAGTGCTTTATTTCCACCTTCTAAGCCTTTCTTTGGAAAGGTCTGGAAAACTAAGTTGGTGTAAATCTATCTTGATAAGCTTAAGGTGTCTGTCTTCTATTTTGGATAGGCATCAAGCACTTTGGAAAACATTTATCCTGCTGCTCCTAGAAGATCTCTTCTCCATCAGGAATCTGAATCTGAAATATCACTGTAACCTTCAACTGGAAGCCTTGGTGCATCAGTTGTGGTGCAGTTAAGGACAAAGCACCAGAGTAGTAAAACGCCTTGCAAAATCTTGTTGCTAATATCTGTGGAATTTTGCTATATTGATTTTGTAATCTTGTGTCTTGGGAGAATAAGCCCCAATCGTGGTGTTTTGCAAGGCTTTCTCGGTAGCTGGACAGTGCTTTTTAGCCATCTAGGCCCAGTGGCTAAAAGCAAAGACTAAGTGTAGATGCGTGTTCCTATGGAGACGTGGAGAGGGGTTTTGACAGGTAGGGATGCAGCCAGCAGTGTTTTCTACGTGTGAAGCTGGTGAGTTTTCCATTGTTTCAAGTGGAAAAATACCAAAGCTGTGAGATACTGATAACTGAGTAGTTAATGGCTAGAAATGTGTTTTTTGGTTGAGCTTTTCTGTGTGTGTGTGTGAAGTCTCTTTGTAATCACTTGTGTGACTTCCTTCATGCAGTAGTAATGGGAGGATCTCTTTGCAGATGCATCTGTAGCTTTACCTTTTAACATGTTGGATTGTAAAGTGAGGAGCACTCGTTCTGTAGAGGAGGCTCTCAATTCGGGTGATCTGGGGAACCTTTCTGGGCACACCAGCTCTGCCTTGTGCAGTGCAGCATTTGTATTGCCCTCTTGTGGCAGATGCCCCAGTGCAGCTGGATTTGGGATTAAAGAATTTTGCAGCTTTTTCAATTCAGCAGCATCTCCAGTGAAACTGTGGCTTTGCTTGTCCAGAAGTGTGAGTTAGCATGAAAACCTGAAAGCAGAGCCGATGGGATGTAGGAAGTGAAACTGGTAGCTCAAGATATGTTATTGAAATGATGTTCCAAAAGACGTAATCTAGGATATAATTGTATCTCTCTAATTATTTGCAGTTAAACTTGCCTGAAGGTTTTGCAGTGTTTTACTGGTTATTAATGATTCCAGAAACTTGGTGGGGGGGGAACAAAATAGAGAACAAAGGCTTAAGAACTTGATAATCTGTGCTTTCAGCTCTGCATGCTTGCCATTTCCAACCAGCTAGCACTCTTGCTTTGCCAGGCATCATTGTTGGGGCTAGATCCCGCAGTCATTTCAAACGACCATACACAAAAACCGGAATGTGACCTAAATTTTGGGCCATCAATGTAGGCAAGAATCTATTTCTGAATTAAACACAGTTGTCCTTCTTTCTGTATGGTGAGGGGAGGCTGTGTGTGTTCAGATACATGCCCAGCAGCAGACTCCCTTGGAGGGTGATGCCTTGCAGCTGTGCCCACCACCCTTGATGTCTTTGTTCTCACCGGTGCTCACAGGCCTCAGCCTTGCTGGGCCAGAGCAGTTTTATTGCAGCAGGAGCTGCTGTACGGGTGGATTCCAGCGTGCGCCTTCCTGGGCCTGCTGCCCCTCTAATTGTTGTGTTGTCAGGAGGCGTGTGCCTCCAAAAGCCTTATCTGATTCCTCCAGAGGCCTTGCAAGCAATTCAGATGTTGACCCCTCGAGCGCACACAGCTCAGCTTCGGGGCATAGCTGGCAGGTTTAGCTCAAAGCCAGCAAGCTTGCTTTGTCACCAGGGCGGGAGCACCTGTCTGGGGAGGGGATGAGGGGCCGGGGAAGGTGAAAAGCTGGTGGGACTCAAAGGGGAGAAGGGAAGGCCAACAGCTGATTGTGTCAACGCTGGGATAAATGCGAGGAGATTAATAGTTATTTAAAGAGCAAATGGGGACATGGCATTTGGCTGTGGCATGTGAGCATATAAATGTGGTGGAATGGCTGCTCCTCTGGTAACATTTAGACAGATGGTTCCTGGACTGAATGGAATGTAAAGGATCTTTCATTCTCATAAGGATATCTTGAATTTTAATGGGGTACTTTTTTTTTTTTTTAATTGATGTCCAGGCAGCACCCTCAGCATTTCCTGATGGTGCTGTCTTGTTAACATCAGCTGGCTGTTTGGTCATCCTTCCCCACAGTTCTGAGTAGCTTGGGATTGGAAGGAACAGTCTAAGTGAAAGCTAAAGCACTATTGTTTTGCTGTCTGTCTGAGCTGCTGTAGGAGACTGTTTTCATCACAGTTGCCTTTTCATCATTGGACTGGTTAGGGAGTGTGTCTGATGCTAATCTCCATGAGAAATAAAACAACTGAGCAGTATTCTTGCTGTTTTTTTTTTTTTTTTTTTTTTTTTTTTTTTTTTTTGAGGAGTCTTTAGGTGTTGTTAGGATCAGGGGTGTGGGACTAATTTAGGGTAAATGATCCCAAAATCTGTTCTGTTGTTTATTTGTACGATGCAGAAGAAGGATGGAGAGGTTGGGTTTCTTGTGTGTGTGTGTATATATATATATATATTTTTTTTTTTTTTTTTAACTGAATGCAAAAAACATTGACCAACAAAAAGAATGTTCCTGGCACTGCAGATCAGCATCTGGCTCCAGCAAAAACACAGTCTGTTAAATAGGTCTTGGTTGTTGGATTGCCTGTGCAGGTAAGATATAACGGTCATCTGCTTTGCTGAAGCTGCAATCTCTCCTTTGAGAGGAAGATCCAGTCTGGGTTGTTGCCTCCTGTGACAGCTACTTAGTGTGCTTTGAGCCCAGTTGTGGGCTCAGCCATCTAACACAAGTACTGGGTCAGCCACTGTCTTCTCTTCTGCTCCAGATGGGGAAACTGAGGCAGCGAGGGTAAATTACTAACCTGAGGCAACAAAGTCGCTGCTTCACCCAGGATTAGGGCTCAATATGTAATTGCTTTTATTACTCTGCTGCCTGAAGGCCTTAGTCAAAGTGAAGGCCCATTAAGTGGAGTGCTTTTTACATAGCGAGGAGCAATCCTTGCCCTGCAGACCTTGCAGCCTGAAGTAGGCCATGGGTGGAGGGGGAGGCAAAGTGGTTTGTCTAAGGACACAGCGTGCTGCTGGCAGGGCAAGGGAGAGATCCAGCCATCCTTCCTTTGCTTGGTTTCTCTGCAGACCATCCCATAATGAGTTCCCTACGTTGTTCTCTACCAGATCTTTTCCTTCTCCTAGTAGCAAGCCGTACCCTTTGTGGTAGGTCCTGCGTGCCTCACTGAAGACCCAAGAACACCAGTCTTGCCTTGGGCCTTTAATTAAAGGCTCAATGGTATAGCAGCCTTTTCCAGGGATATTGAGCAAGGAAGAGTTCTGTGGTGGCTTTACCACCTTCTTTTGAAAGGACAGCTGAGAGTGCACAGTTCCTGAGCACAGGGAGGGCATTTATCCTTGGAAGGGAACCATCTGTTCTTCCATGATTGAAATGACTGGAGAAACAGGTTGTGTGCCTTGTCCATAGTCTGTGGGGAGTTCAGTAGATAGCCTTTCATTCCCTTATTCCCTTACAGATCATGATGAGCAGTGATGTGGTACTTAAAGCTGTGTGTGTGAACCAGAATCCTGCCTGTGATACTTTCTTGTCCTTGGGTTTCACAGTCTTACAATTGATGTTCAAGGAAACTTACCACTTTTTTTTCTTTTCTTTCAAGGAATCTATCCACTTTTATCATACTTTGTTTCACTTCTCCCTCCTTTGTCAGAAGGATCCTGGTTTACTGAGTTGTTAGATTACAGGAGGGCATTGAATGGGTTTGCTCATTCTTGTTGCCCTTCTCTGAATTTTTTTTTTCCCCCCCTCTCAACTCTTGGAGGTGCAGAACAAGGGCTGTGTATAGTCTTTAGGACATCTGACTTCTCTGCTAAACTCTCTGATCTAACCTCTGTATTTCTGTACTTTGTCCTGTAGCCTTCTTTTTTGATGTTTTATTTGTCATTTGTAGCTGGAGGATACTTTTGGGGCACAACAGTGTCTGCTTAAGTGCTGTGTGGTGTGCAGCTGCTGATGCTGTAGGCACTCAGGGAAATGTTGCATGCAGTGAGCTGCTCCTGCTTGGTATGATACCTTCAGTTCCTCTGTGCTGCTGTCTGTTTTCTGGCTACAGTCATGGTTTGAAGGCTGTGCACCTTTGCCAATGGCGTAGCAGTGCAGTTACCACTTGATACAGGTGTCCAAAATGTCAATATGCGTGGTGGGATCTGATCTACAAGGAGTAGTCTTTAGGTAGAACACGAGACCATGAGACAATGTAGCCTTGTGCATGATACAGCTGGTTTCACTGTAACAAAACGATGATTTGTATCAGGTACTAGCCTTCCCTCCACCTGGTCTGGGTTTGGGTGTTGTTAGACACAGGGATCCTGCCCCCTGTGATGGCTCGCTGCCCTATGAATCACCTCTTCATTGTGTGCATGGTGTCTTTTTTTCCAGCTCTGTTCCATACTGTTGATCTACTGTGTGGCTGCATGAAGCTTTACCTCTTTGTCTTTCAGTCACTGATGGAAAATGGAGTATCTTCTCTGCAAATATCCTTCCTTATTGAATGACACGCACAGGGTGGTGCTGAGATCATGATGTCCACGCTGCGTCAAGCTGGTCCTTGCTAACGTTCCTTCTGTGCATTTCTTTGCCTCTAGCCACAGTACACGAACCTGGGGCTCCTAAACAGCATGGACCAGCAGATTCAGAATGGCTCTTCCTCTACCAGCCCCTACAACACGGAGCACGCGCAGAACAGCGTCACGGCCCCTTCGCCTTACGCCCAGCCCAGCTCCACTTTTGATGCCCTCTCGCCCTCCCCAGCCATCCCTTCCAACACAGACTACCCGGGACCTCACAGCTTTGATGTATCATTTCAACAATCCAGCACAGCAAAGTCTGCAACGTGGACGGTAAGGATGCAGCACAGCCTCGCTCCTTCGTTGGCTTCAGTCCTGTGGCCAATGGTGACACTGCTGTTCTGATACATATCCAGGCTTGTGCAAGAACAGAGTGACCTGTGTCCTCTTAAGTGCATGACATGTCACACAGAAGGGAGAGATTTATCTTGGCTGCTCTGGGAGGGTGTGGTGGGAATTGAACCCTCAGTAATATTACTAAATCCCAGGTGAATAAAATGCCTCGCAAAAAGACAGTCACTTAAAGACTGTGTGATGAAACAGTGTCTCTCTTATTTAAGTGTAACATATTGAAGTTAAAACCTGGGATGGGCATAAAGATGGCTTCAGAGTTTCCCATGGCATCCTTCATCCATGGGTATGTGTTAGGTTCCATGTGCGGGGCTGTGCCAGTAGGACAGAGGTACAGGATAGAGGTGGTTTGCCCTGATCTACTATTAATATTTTTCTAAACATAAAAATTTTCCTTAGCCGGTGTGGTTTAGGGCTCTAGAGTAGAGATTCTTTAAGATAGCAATATTCTCCATTGCTAAGATGTTCAGTATTTGTCTTCCACTGCTTCAAGCACTCCAAATCAGTGCAGTGAATAAACCCCTGTGTGGTGAGTGAGGAGAATTAGGTAAATTGAACCTTGGTCCTCTGAATAACACTAGAGTTAGATGCCTAAATCAGGTATTACCAGTAACCCCTGCTGTGCTTGGTAATTAAGGAAATCAGATTTGAATCCCCAGTGGAGGGAACCAATTTATTTTTATTTGTTTTTTGTTTTTTTGTTCCTTCAGATGTACGTATTGATTCTTCTAGCAGCAGGTCGAATCTCAGCTTCCATCATAGTATGATTTGTCTTACTTTTCTTCACTCGAAGCTGTTTTGAGTATCTCACTTTATGGTGACTTTATTTAATGATATCAGATTATCCAACACTTGTTTTCTGTCTTTAAAACTACACAAACAAAAGCAGTGAGTTGCAGGGATTTTTAATTTAAAGTGCTTTTTGGGTTTTGTTTTTTTTCTGTTTTTTTTGTTTTTTACCAAAAATGAAGCACATTTGCTTTTCTTCCTTTCCATATTTAGTCCAAGGAACTCCTTTGGTCTCAGAGTAAATACAGTCTAGAAACTGCAACTGGCCACTGCTGGTAGGAAACACTGTAACCTGCATGCTTCTTATTGGACAGATGGGAAGAGATGTTGTGTAATAATAAATCAGTATAAAATTGCATCTTTCATATGTAAAAGTTTTTAAGTAAACTTTTGTCTGAAACTGGTAACGATACCTTTGTTTAAAGGGTATGTTTCACAGAGTTGAAATGTTTTGTCTGGTCAAGGGCAATTTACTTATTTCTTTACGGATGAATCTGTGGAAGTCCAAATGAAGTTGAAATGCATCTATTCTTTATCTGTACTGGCTGTGATGTCTTGTTGTAGTTCATGCTTTTCATGTCCAGGTTTCTCCACTTGCACTACACTATTTATTTTCATTCCCCTTTTGAGTAAGGAAATTGTCAGGTCTGCTTTCCATTTCTCAGGGCAAGAAAATGCTGCCCTTGGATTTTTGCAGGCTGCTGTGGAGAGGGTCCTTTGAGAGAGATATGAAAAGACATTCTCTTTTGATAAATATAGTACAAAGAATTATCTAACGCAGCTGCAGGGAACAGGAGTGTTTGATGCTATCCTTTCAACTATGAAAAGTGGTCTTTTGAAATGAGTTTTGAACGTCAGTGGTAGGCTGTTCCAGAAGAGCTGAAGACGAGCTGCTCGCAAGCGTGAAGTTGAGCAAGCACTTGAGGGAATTCACTGCAACGACAGCAGCTCTTGGGGGTAGAAGTGAGGCTGAGATTTAACGTGGATCTAGGTAGTAGTCAGATCAGATTGCATGGTGGTCGCTTTCTTTTCTTTCCTTGGGGGCAAGCATTTTCCATTTTCTTTATCCATGATGTGAACCGTGCGACAGGCACGTGTGTAGCCTGTAGCTGTTGCAGTCTGTGGCACAGGAACGAGCCTGTATGTTTTAGTCAAGGAGCAACCTCCAAAACAGCTCTGTTTGTGGAGGAGTGTCCTGGTGTCCCTGTGCTGAGCCTAGAGCTGCTTGTGCAGGAGCTGTGTGTATGCAGTGGCTGACAGTCTTGTGGTGGCTGCCGGGGACCTTCAATCTATGTTTCACACTTGAGCATCTTTCCATCTTCAGAGCTCTGCCCTTGTGCTAATTAATCCACCAACTCATTTCACATGGGCTGTTGAGCAGTTGGTAATGTGTTCGACAGCTTTATCAGCGGGGTGGGTGTGGAGGGACTTGGAGGTTCTCTCCTGCTGCTGTCCTGAGAAATGTGGAAACACGTGTGAAACGTTGATGAAAGAAGGATTGCCCCATCCTCACAGCAGGAGCAAGTTCTCTGAGTTGCTCACTAGCCTCCCCCCCCCCCCAATGTGACTTCATGTGCTTTGATTAATGCCTGTCGTCATCTTCTTTTTTAATGATGGATTAGGAACCTACCCAACTGGAAGAGTTTCTTCCACAGCAGTGACCTATTAAATGTTTAATTACTAGATGGCCCCACCCTTATTAAGAGTCCAAAACTTGAAAGCCTTGTTTCTTAGGGTTTTTTCCTCTTGCATTCCCCAGGGTGACAGCGTTAAGGAAACTTGTGTCTCACTTTCCCCACTTTGGGAGTGGATGAGTGAGGCTGACCCACCTTGCCCTGCTAGGAGGGCTCAGTGGGGGCAGGCAGTGAATCTCGAGTCTTGGCTGACAGGATGCTTTGCTGTAGCTCATCTGAGTTTGTTTGGAGCTGAGTTGTGTTGGATTAGGTCATGGGAGAGCAAAGGCTGGCAGCCTGGGTGGAAGACTTTGGTTATTTCCCCTGAAAAAGCAAAGGTGCTTTGGGAGGGTTGGAGATCTGTGAAGATGCTTCAGGCTTTTTGGTGCTTAGCTTCTGAGGGAAAAATGATCTGAAATCAGACATAGTTATCCCAGGGTTATTTCTGGAAGTGGGAGAAAGGGGGGGGGAAAGCTAGGTCTCTGCAAGCAGCCCCAAATTCTACTCGTACCCCTCCAAACCTGTTTTGTAGTATGGTGATGTTTTCTTTGGGGCAGGTTTGTTTTCACAGGGCAGAGGACACCCTGTGCTGAGTCAGCGCTGTTCATGTAGGATAAGCGGGGGAAGAGATGAATGTAACACTGGGAGGGCTGCTTCTCTGCTCAGGTTTGTGATGGGCTCCTAACTCAAGGGGGGAAGGAGCTGGCCAAAAACTGCAGAGAAACACCAGTTGCTGCTAGGTGAGAGTGATTTCTTATGCATGAGCAGTTTGCTTTGAAAATATTGCAGATTTTCTCTGTGAAGTCTTTCATGACCTTAAGTAGGAATTCCAGTAAAACATGCTGTCTAATCAGGTTAGCTGTTCATTTGTATGCAACGTTGAACTAATTAATGATGACAAATTGAGATTGGATTGCGGAGGACTTTATAAGCATCCTTGATTATTTTTTTTTTAATTAATGACCTGAGAACACAAGAATATAACCAAGTTAATCAGTCTTTTCAGAAGGAAAATCTTTAACGATTGCCACTCTCTTTCAGTCTTTAAAAACAAAAGCCTTGATAATCTAAACTGAACAGAGCTTCTCACATGCATACAGGGGTTGGGGGAGCTCTTCCTGCAGTTTAAGCTCGCTGAAAGCCAGTAGTGGATCAAGCAGCTATTGCTTGGTAGGCAGAAGGTCGTTAAGTCTGAGAGAGAAGCCCTATGAATTTGGTGAAATTAGGTGAAGCTTATCCAGAACTGTGCGTCATGTATTGTGGGATACTTCCTCTGTGAGAATTCTCATATACCTGGGCTTGTGAGATCTCCTCCCATTTCTGCAGCAGAAGCAAACAAGGCGTTTCAAAAGCGTGCCACCTCAGACTTTTTTTTTCCCTTTCTGGAAGTAACTTTGTGTGCAGATGTTCCCACCCACTCCAAGTGCAAGTAAATAAATAACTGCACTGGCTTTTCCCACTAAAAAAAGATTTGGCAATCACCTGTTGCTAGCACAGAGCTTGCTATATGACTGCTTGCTTGGAGAAGAACATGGTTGCAGTGGGGAAGATTAAAAAATAAAAATAATTTAAAGAAATAATTATGTCAAGGTTAGTAAAGTTAACATTGCTGCCAAACTCAAGCTATCAAGAAACAAATCAGATCCTCCTATCCCCATAAGCAAGATACCACCTTATAAGTCATGAGACTTTATTAAAGACAAACAGGTTCTTCGGATGTTCCCTCAGGTTTTTGAGCCTTTAGGGTGCATCTATTAAATCTTCTAAAGCATTTCTGGGTAGTCACGAGAGTAGAGGAAAAAGGCAAAAGTAGCTTTAAGTTTTTGCATGAAAACCAAAATTTGCTTGTGATTGTTTTTGATTTTGCTGAAGAAAGCCCTGCAAGACTTGCATAATGGGAGTGTTGGCAATACCTGAGCATAGCAGTTTTTTCTCATGCCCTGCAGTAGGTTGGAGCTGAGCAGGGTTGGTCCTTGCAGAGCTTTGTTATGAAACACAGAGCTCCACAAAGTTGCAATCCGTGTTCCAGTCAGGCACTTTGGTTCTCCTGTGCTCAGTAAACTTGATTGTACCTCAAGTTCTATTAAAGCGTTTTGATTTCAGACTCTTGGCTGTCAAGGCGAGGTGACAACCTGTGCAACATGCAAGAAAGCAAGTAAATGCATTGTGCAGTCTGGGGTTAGTAGATTCAGAAGGGTTTTGTTCTTAAGGTGAAAGGAATGTGCTTAAATTAGTCCCTGCTAGGAGTAACAGGTTTCTGTGGTTGAGAGTACAGATTCCTTGGCTGGTCTATCTCAGTCGTCTTATTTCGATTTGGTTTATTCCACTTCTGCTTTGAAAACAAAATTTTGTCCTGAATCACCTGGTATAAAATGGGAAGCTTCATTTCCCATCTATAAAATGAATTGGAGGATGATGTCCGTGGGGATAGCACAGCAGTGAGATGGCAATTTGATGCAT